ACTGCCCTGTCAGCAGCAGGTACGGGTCCTGCTGCTTCTTGTATTCCACGTCTGTGTCCCAGAATTTCCATGTCCCATCCTTTGACACGGTTGCCATCCTGCAGAGAGGAGAGTGGAAGGGAATGGGCAGCATAACTTCTCATGCCCTGCCTGGGAATCTGCTGTGGAGAGAGTTCTGGTGGAAAGGATGACTGTATGTGTGTCCTCTTTCCAGGGCATGAATATCCATGGCAGGGACAGCAGTTTCCCCCAGGAAGAAATCCACAGTGGGCATGGGCCAGTTTGGGTCTCCCAGGGCTCAGCCTGGAGAAAAGGAGGCTCAGGGCACAGTTGCCATCCGACAGTGAGGAGACTGGAAGGGAATACGCAGCACATCTTCTGCCCTGCCTGGGAATCCACTGGTGGGAAGGGTCAGTTTGGACACACATAGTGTGTTCTCTTTCCATGGCATGGATAGCAATCACCCCCTGGAAGAAATCCACAGGGCATGAGCCAGTTTTGGCATCCCAGGGCTCAGCCTGGAGAAAAGGAGGCTTAGGGCGGACCTTTTCACTCTCTACAAGTCCCTGCCAGGAGGTGCAGCTAGATGGGGTCAGGCTCTGCTCCCAGGGAATAAGGGGCAGGATGAGAGGCAACAGCCTCAGGCTGTGTCAGAGGAGGTTTAGGTTGACTATTAGGAAGAATTTCTTCACAGAATGAGTGATTAGACACTACAATGTGCTGCTCATGGAGGTGGTGGAGTCACCGTCCCTGGAGGTGCTCAAGACATGGCACTTGGTGCCATGGTCTAGTTGACAACGTGGTGTTAGGTCATAGGTTGGACTTGATGATCTCAGAGGTCTTTTTCAACCTGATTCTGTGATTTACCCCACCCAGGGCAGGGGTGCAGCTAGTGAACCCTGGAAGGGGCGAGCTCCCATGTCCCAAGGGTGAGCCAGAGTGGGCTACATGGGATAACACACACTCACCTCCTGGAGTCGTTAGAGAAGGCGAAGGAATGGACCCCAGCAGTGTGGCCTTTCAACTCAAAAGCCCTGGCCACCTCCCGAAACTCTCCATTCTTGCCAAAACACACCTCCCACACCTTCACATCAGGGGTGAAGCCACAGGATGCCACAAACCTGGGTGAAGGAACAAGCAGAGACACAGGGCACCTGTTAGAGAGACCTGAGCGAGGCAGGGCCAAGGCTCTGCAGAGCTGTGCTGATTCCCGCGCTCAGACATGGTGGAAGAATTTTCACTCTCCCCTGAAACCCATCTGGGAAAAGGAATGCTAAGGAAGGGTACCATGGGCCAGAACAGCTCAGGAATGAGAAACTCTCAGGCCAAAGTAAAAGAGCTAAATGCTTTTGAACCCCAGACTCCCTGAGCACGGAGCAAGGCAAGTCCTGCAGGAACAAGTTGGAGACAGAGCAGAGAACAAGATTTTCCAGATATACAGATCTCCCAGAAACAGAGACTTTAATTTTACAATTAACCTTTCAGAGGTTACAGGCAAGTTCGAAATGCTGTTTGCACTGTCCCATTGCTGCTATCTGAGGTCAAAGCTGTTCTCAGGTTACCAGAACAGCAGCACTGAGGTGCAATGGCAACACGGATTGTTTGAGCCCTCATCAGCTGCATCTCCCAGAAGGGCTGCTATCCCAAATCCCTTTTTAAACTGTGGAACCCCTGGAAAATTGCATTGCAGTGACAGCTAACTGCCAATAGGCTGAACTGCTGTGGAAAGGAGTGAGGTTCCCATCCACTCCTGCAGCAGGAGCAGCCTGGAACACAACCTGTCCCTCACCTCCCACAGGGTGACACAGTGGCATAGGCATTGTTCATCTGGTTGGTGTTAATGCTGGCCAGGACTTCTCCCTTTGGGCTCCAGATCAGGATGGTAGTGTCACTGGAAGCTGTCATGATAAACTTTCCTGGGGAAAAAAGGCAAAGATCAGGAGAGCCTCCAGGCCTAACACAGCCATAGACTTTTCCAAGCCCCGTGACATCCTCTCCCTGCAGCTGGACAGTCATGAAAACCAAAAGCTGCACCAAAATACAAGGAGGGCCCAATCTCTTGGGACAAAGCAAAGTGCAGGATCAGAAGACTCAGCTCCTGGTGTTCTGGGTGGGCAGCAGGCACGGAGCTCACGTATGCCCCTCACCCCAGCACCCCTCAGCCCTGCCTGCAGAGCTTGGCTGTGCCACAGCAGGAACACAGCACACTCCATCTTCCCTGATATCTAAAACCAGCTCCAGGATCAGCAGCTTTCAAGCCGTGGACTGCAGGCAGGCAGGCAGTCACACCACTGTCATCCATGGTTACTGGTTGTATCCATGGACTCCTGCTCATTCCCACTTCCCCTTTGCCACCTCAGCCTGGGCTGAGAGGTGCCTGTTTACCTTTCAGCTACTTGTTGCAGGTTTAGGTTTTCACCTTCACAGCTAACAAAGGTCTCAGTTAACATTTGCCCTGCTCTCCTATTACAGAGGTGAACACACATCCACCCACTTCCAACCGCCCACTGTCACATCCCTGAAGCATTAATCCCTCAAGCCCTCATCACCTACACAGAATTCCCACCCACCCTCCCCCACCTCTGTCCTAGATGATCCCAGAAGTTCAAGATAGACCATAGGAACTCACTAGAGAGATTTTTGACTGGTTAAAGAGAGACTGGCAGGCCAGAGAACAGCGATCCTCTCAATACTGAGACCAGACCTCTTTGCAACAGCATCCCTGAAAACGTAAATTAAGAGACTGTGCATATCTGGGAGCTGGTTACAGGCACATAATTGGTCTGAAAATGACACCTTTTGGTTCAGTAAGTAGTAAATTAAGTAAGAAAACCCTAAGAGACTACAAAGAGTAAAGTATTGCTGCTTGACCACAGCCTTGAGAATGCCAAAAACCCCAACACTTTGAACCCAGCAGCTCCCGCTTCATGAGGAAATCAAAGCCCATCTGGAGAGGGAAGCAGCTCCATACCTGTCTCTGCAATTCCTATGTTAATGACAGGAGCCTTGTGCTTCTTTGGGAAGTCCCCAGAATTGGCAGTGAAGGTGAAGCTGTCATCATCCTTCTTAGTCATTTTGTAGACACGAATAGTCTCACCATTGGCCAGCCAGACGATGAATGCCCTGTAGGAGGACAGGTCCAGCTCAGCCCAGGGCACTCAGGGACACCTGGGGACAGGCACACACTGGCAGGTAAAAGCTGTGTGCTGTAGGGCACTGAGTTCTCTCCCTGTGTTGGCTCAACTGCAACACTGAATGGAAAAGAACAGAACTTACTACCCCACACCTGGAAACTAGATCCATTCCTCTCTCACACTTCACAAAGACCCAAGACATGCTTTTCCACCAAATATCCCACCCAGCAAGAGCTCCTGAGCCCACTGGAGAGGCTCAGCAGCACATCCCAGCTGGCAGACACCACCACAGGCACCTTCCATAGGTGCAGCAAGCTGGGCACCAGGATATTTGCCCCAAGAACCACATTAACCCATCGTGGGCTGGACTAGATCATCTCCAGAGATGCCTTCCAACCCTAACTACTCTGTGATTCAGCGATTAACTGCCAGCTGCTCTCACGACTCCGTGGTGCTGCGATGCCCCAGCGAGGAATGCTGCCTCCATGCGTCCCGGAGCGCACAGCA